TATCTAACAGTTCTTAGAAGCCGTAGATAAAATTATCTGGCCTTGTACCTGACAACCGTAGTCCAAAAGAAGCTGCAGTATATCCAAGTTTTCGTTTTCAATAGTTATGGTAACAGCATTCCTCCCAAGCACATCTACGCAATTTATGTTCAAGTCCCCTGAACTGTTTTCCTCCAAAATCTTTTTAACCATATAGTAGTCACCTAAATAACAATATACAAACATAACTTAATATTCAAGACATATTAAATAAGAATGACTGTAAAGAAAATTTTAACTTGTTGGATTAAAAGATTAAAAAAAACCCTAAACTCATTCTTGCATTTGGAAATGAACACTATAAATGTGAAAATTTCCTAGAGTGTATCTTGATTTAAATATATATACGTATATATGCGTGTCAACAGCAAATATAAATACAAATAGAAAAGTTTGAAATGAGCAATGTGAAATAAAACTACCTTAAAATTCATAATTTGATGACATAAGGAAAGAAACTCATAGAAGGTATGTAAAGCAATAAAGAATAACCAGAAAGGCAAACTGGCAGCCAGAAAAAAAATGTTTCTTAAAAGAAGAAATTTTATAGCTCAGACACATGTATACTTTTACTTCCATATCAAAATGATTAAAAATCAGATCTAAGTAGAGGACATTATAAAGAGGAAAAGTAGACTTTTGAAAAGCGGTGCCAACATGTATATTTTTACTTGTAGTAAAAGTACAATTAGAGGGAAGATTGACTGAAAATCCTCCCCTTTCTCTTCCTCCACTCCTCCTCTCTCTCACACACACACACACACACACACACACACACAGGCAGGCAGCATCTCATTAATGAAGCTACTTAAGTAACCAGGGAACATTCAGTTGACAAAACTCAGGACTAGAATTACAGTGCCAGGCTGTAGCCTACAATGAAGCAGTTCTCCCATAGGAAATTGAGAACTATTCTATCTTTGTCTAATGACAAGATGGTACAGGGCAGGAGTAAGTAGAATAAATAAAGAGAAATGACAATTAGAGGAAAAAAAGCAAGGGTAGCTTGTTTGTCAGGTTTCATTTTGCTTTTTAAACATCACATGAATATACCATTTTAAGTGACTTGCAAATATAATTATTTCTTAGAAATCTATGAATAAAAAACTGGGAAAGAACAGCATGGAAACCAGAAGGAGAAAGAAATGAATGATTTCATGATACAGAAAAAGACTAAAATTGGACTAAATGAATAAATACAAAAACAAGGATCCAGCATGGTAGCACATGCCTGTAATCTCAGCTACTCAGATAATGGAAGATAGGAGTATTCCAGCTTAGAACAGCCCAGACACAAAGTTAGCAAGACCCTACCTATATTACAAACAAGTCTGGCAAGGTAGGGCACATCTGCAATTCCAGCTATGTAACCGACGGAGGTTAAGAGGATTGCAGTCTAAGGACTGCCTGGGCAAAAGCTCAAGACTATCTTAAAACACTAAAGCACCAAAAAGGGCTAGGGGCATGGCTCAGGTGATATGCCTCCTACCTGGCAAGCACAAGACCTCCTGCATTCAAACCCCAGCACTACCAAAGAGACAGCTAAGAAAGACAGGTAGTAGATTCTGCTTGCTAAAGTCACACAAATATGCTAGTACAGGGGCTGGGAAAGTGGCTCAGTGGTAGAGTGCTTGCCTTGCATGCATGAGACCCTGGGTTCAATCTCCTCAGCACCACATAAGCAAAAAGAAAAAAGCCGGAAGTGGTGCTGTGGCTCAAGTGGTAGAGCACTAGCCTTGAGCTGAAGAGCTGAGGGACAGCGCCCAGGCCCAGAGTTCAAGCCCCACAACTGACAAAAAACAAAAAACCATATATGCGAATATAACCTTATAATCCTATATTCTTACAATCCCCACAGTTTGAAAGGAGATAAACAGTAATTTTCTTGACAATATAGTTCCTTAATTCCCTCCAGAAGAAAACTATTTACAAAAGACATACTGTCTCTGTAACACTACTAATTAATATTTAGATGCTAATGCTTCATGGTAAAAACTTAGCAAATACATCATGAAGTGATGCTATTCCAACAGTGACCAAAGGAATGGAGCCCCAAAAGGTTACCACTGCTGCGGGAAGACAGCATGCAAAATCTTCTTCCAGGTGAATCCACTGTAGTAACTCAGCAGCAGGAAGATGCTGACAATAAAAACTCAGCTCTGTGACCAGGATATGTCTAAGGGAGGATTACTTTTTTGTTTATCTTGCTGGCTGGCTGCTCTGTCCCATGGTAAAATAACCACACTCTACCCCCCTCCCTGCCCCATTTCTCAGCTAGGACATCCTAAAACAGGGGATTTCAGGCTTTCCTATATACAGTACTTAAATGCTGTGGCTGGTGAGTAGGATGGTGCTACCATACTCTCTCTTTTCTCCCCTCTTGGTACAAATCTCTTTAACCTTTGCTACCACCTGCCAACACAGATCTCCCAGCAATTCTCTGCTCTGCATCTTCAATGCTCGCCACCCTTCTCTAACCTCACACATGCTGAAGCCTCTTCTCAAATTGGTAAAACAAAACAGTACCGTTAAATATACTAATGTCAGTGAAACACTCCCAAAATTGGTGCATACTTGAAAAGCATCCTTAGTCTTAAGGTAAACAAAACTTATCTAAGAACTAAAAGTATCCTTCCTTATAGTACAGTAATCATAACATAAAGTTCACAGAACACACAGTAGGCTGAACCCAGTCCTAAAGACAAAATCCTGCCCTCTTTCTCTCCAGATCATTCTGACCTCAGTGGGAATGTTAAGAGACTGCTAACTCAAACCCTAATTAAATTCCCCCCCACTAAAAATAGTCTCCATAGAGAGTTGGCAGGGACTGAGCCCTTTTATATGTTTTTTTTTTCTACAACAGAATTCATTATTGATCCTCAGCAAATTAGAGGCTTTATGTGGGTATATGTTCACAAATGTCTTAAAAGCCACCATCAAGAGTTAAACTAAATGAGACAGATGAACACAAGTCACAGTTAGTTTAAGTGCTTCCTGAATAAAACACTAGCTATCCTTGCTCTAATGAGCAGGCCAGAGATACCACAGACTCCTATGAATTAAAGAGGCTCAATGAGAAAGGAAAAAGACATCAGCAGTAAGGATCATGCCTTACTGGTTAATGAAATTCACCTAGAAAGTGAATTTTTTTCAATTATCCTGTGATTCTGAACTAGAAAGAATATGAGAATACTTTTGGTGGAGTTAGACTTATATTACTGGAACAGAAACTGAATTTTCTCCAGAGCTTGTCCAGAAAAAAAAAAAACCAAGAGAGTTTTACCTTTGAGAGGTTCAGACCCATTATGAAATGGCTACTATTCAGATTAGTCTTTTCCTGCATCTATTGAATTTATTTACATAAAGGTCAGTCATTATACACTAAATCTTTTCCTTTTCCACTTCACTTACTCCCTAATGTATACACACCTCTCTAAGGACCACCCATTCATTAACATACACTTAACCATCATATCTCCACAAGTTTTGCTTTAGAAATTCCTAGATTCTATTCTTCTTAGGTGGATAGGCCACACACAGACACATAGACACACACACACACACACACACCCCTAGCTCAAGGAGTTGTAAGGATTTAAGGAAATGTTCTACAAAGAGCCTGAGTACTCCATTCCAACAGCTGCTTTAGTAGACCTCTACCACTTGGTCTGAAGATGCCACTGTAATGTTTTAGCTATTTTAAGAAAATTTTCACTTTTAGATTTTGCTTGCTTAACACCCAAAAAGTTTAAGAATATTAAATGAATATAAACATGCAAATAAAATATATACTATCACGTGAATTTATTTTTATTTTATGTTACTATTTTTTTTATTTTTCATAAGGGTACTAGGGATTGAACCTGGAGCCTTGTACATTCTAGACAAGCCCTTCTTACTTACTTGAGCAATGCCCTCAGCCTCTCTCCAAGAATCATAATGTATAAAATGAATAACTGACAAATATCAAGCTGTTTCAACTTGTACCCTGGGTAGTCTGCAGAACTGCTATCAATTTAAACTCTTTGATTTGAGATATATCATGAAGCAATTCTAAATATACACAGCATCCAAATACCTATCCAAACACCTATGCAAAGCCATATCTAGTGGCACAGATCTGTAATCCCAGCACTTGAGAAGACTGTGAATTTAAGATCAACTTGAGCTACACACTGAGGCTGTTTAAAAAAAAAAAGACCAAAAGAAAATAAAAACTCTACACCATCATATTCCATCATAGCATTCCTCTGCCTGCAATTTCACTGGAATATCCAGTTTCTTTCCTTGTTGTATTTTCTATTGGCTTCTAAATAATCACGATTTAGTAGGGTAGGTACAGGGGTACTTATGCTACAATAACACAATTTAACAATTTACTACTTTCCTATCAGACAATTTTTCTCCACTCACCCCCCCTTCAGACAATTTGTGATTAATACTGCCAGCAATATTAATCTTGCCCACTGCAGAGACCATAATTTTGTGATTTTGTAGACATTCCATACCTTACAGTTCCAACACTGCTCAAAGATGTCTATGAAATCTTTATAAACGCTTTCATATTATTTTAACGTGTCCAAAATCATAAAGTGGGCTTAGTCAATACATGAATGTGTTTCCAAAAGTATGTAAATAAAATTCTATTTCAAAAGCATTACAGGGCGAGAAAGGGAGTAATTTATTTAAAGCACACTCATGCACGCAGGCGGGCAAAAACTCTTCTGCAATTAATCTTCCCACAGTGTAAATTGTCCTTGGGATGTACGCTTGAAAGCCTGCACGGTTTTAACACACATTTTTCCTCCCCAAGTGAATATGACCATGGCACAGCACAAGCTGCGTGTTTTAGAAACAAAAATTCTCAGTGTTTCCCATGTAGGGGGAAAAATAAAAAGCCGTACGGTGGGCAAATGCCCTATTCTTTTTTAGTGACAGGCATCGCTCGGAAGCATACTTACACGCCGGCTTTCTTCACAGGCCATAAAAATGACCAATTTCTAGATTCAAAAAAAAAAAAAAGGCACACTAAATACATTCCGCGTAATGTCGCTCTGTAATTATTTTCCCAGTACCTTTAGCTCCCATAGAAGGCCCTGGAGCAATAAACCTTCCTCTTGGGATTTAAAAAAAATGCATCAAGACAGTCTTAAGTTTGTGGGGGGAGGAAGGGAGGGAAGGAAAGAGGCAGAAACTCTTCCCAGTCCTTAGGATATTGGGCTCCCCCATTCCACTTCCCCGGAAATAACCCACGCAACAGCCCAAAGTTCTTTAAAAACCAAACCCAACAACACGGGGGTGGAAAGGCCCCTGGACGGGAGGCGGCTGTTAAGGGAAGGTCCTGGAATCCGGGGTGGGGGTGGAAGGTCAGTAAATGACCTCTTGGCTCCCCAAAAGAAGGGAGGGCGGGCTCACTCTTCAGGCCTGTAGCCGGGGTGAGGCTATAAAAGTGGGGTGCTGACACCCCCCCTCCGCCGCCT